AGAGCAGCAGAGCGTAAAAATTTACGCTGCACTCTTTCGAGCATCATAGAGTCAGTAGCTGTGTAAGGATCCCATAACACCGAACCGTACTCAAGGATAGGGCGGATCAGAGAGCAAAAAAGACTTTTTAGTGGTTTAGAGAGGTGAAATTCATGAGAAATTCTCTGAATGAAACCTAAAGTTTTTAAAGCCTTACAACAAACTTCTTCGATATGAGGACGAAAATTTAAAGTAGGAGTGAGACGAAACCCAAGGTCAACTATAGAAGTAACAGACGAAATAGGAAGGTTATGAATAAAGTAAGTTGAAGGTATAGGATTAGAAATACGTGAAAAAGTCATTTTATAACATTTAGTAATATTAAAAGTCAGACCAATTGATTCGGCCCAATTAACTAACCCATCTAAATCAGCTTGGAGTAAATTAACATCTGAACTATTAGTAATACGCATAAATAACTTGAAGTCGTCTGCAAAAAGGAGTATTTTAGCATGCTGTAAAACAGAATTAGCACCATTTACAAAAATAGAAAAGAGAAGAGGAGAAAGAATTGAACCTTGCGGAACACCGGATGAGGGGGTTATCACTTCGGAGTTACAACCTTGAACAGTTACCCACTGTTTTCTATCAGTTAGGTATGAAATTAACCAAGATAGGAGTGGTTCACCGAAACCAGCGTGGAATAGAAGTTCAGAAAGGATATTAAGATTAAGTTTATCGAAGGCTTTTGAAAAATCAGTAAAAATAACATCTACTTGAGTATGGTTAAGGAAAGAGTTAGTAATGAATGATTGAAAGACAAGATTACAAGTTAAAGTAGAACGGCCACGACGGAAACCATGTTGTTCGTCAATAAGAAAGTTATTAGTACTGGATTTAATTGATTGAAAGACAAGGGACTCAAGAAGTTTTGATAAATGGGAAAGGTTAGAAATAGGACGATAATTAACAACTTGAGTTGGATCACCGGATTTAAGAAGGGGAGTAATAGAGGAAATTTTAAAAATGGATGGAAAAGATCCCTCATCAAGAGATTTTCGAAATAGCATCCAGAGAGGAAAGGAAATCAGATGTCGAAGGTTAAATAAAAAGTTCCCAGGAATACCATCAGGCCCAATAGCTTTATTGTTATTAAGGTTAGATAGACCATTGAAAACATCATCAATTGAAAAAGAGGCATTATTAGGGAGATCGTAAAATAAATGGGGAAGGATATTAAGAGAAGGAGAAGAGGATTGAGAAAAGACCGAGGAGAAATGCTTACAGAACATGTTAGACATACATAGTGTACTATCGGAAATTACGTTATTATAACTAACGCTATTAGGAAGAGCGGAAGATTTATTTTTTCGCACAAATTTCCAGAAGTATTTAGGGTTTGTTAGGAGGCAATTTTCAGCTTTAGCAGTATATTTACGAAAATTTTGTTTAGAAAGATATTTATAGCGTGCGCGAAGTAGTGAAAAATGACGATAATTAATAAGAGAAGGTGTTTTTTTAAATTTATAATGAGCATGCCTTTTTTCAAAAACTATTTTTTTTAACTCAGAATTGAACCATGGAGGGAATGAGGAGGAATGGATTTTATATTGAGGAACAAACTGTATTATTGAAGAATGAAGGGCGTCCATGAAACAATTAACTGCTTGATCCACATCCAAAGAGGAAAAAGTTGACTTCCAATTGTAGGAGTTCAAAAATTGTGCAATACTCGAATAATTAGCCAAATTGAAGTTGAAGAAAGTTTTGGGTAAAGAGGAATTAAAAAACTGGTGAGTAGCTGGAAGGGAGAGATTGAGAGCCGGGTGATATGGGTCAATAGGAACACATGGCTCGGGAGCCAAGCTGACAGATATATCAGGAACATTACTGAACACTAAATCTAAAAGTGAGCCATGTGAATTAAAAATACAATTATGTTGATAGAAACCATGAAAAGCAAATGCTTCAGGAATACACGAG